AGTAATCTAATATGGGTCTATAGGTCGAATTTTTATGAAATATCGTTGAAATATTTTTGTAAATTTATTTTCTTTTTTGTTTCTACAATAGTTGTTGGGTTTTAAGAAGGAGGAGGCATCTAATTCTTTGTTTTCTTAAATGAATACTTCAATTCTTTTATTGCAGAATCTTATCATATAGGAAAAAAATACGTTTAAAATATGGTTTAACAAAGATTGTGACATCCGGGTATACCTAGTTAGGGAATTATCAAATTGAAAAATTACATCTTTGAAAGTTGCTGTGGCCATAGAATTTCTGTCTCTTTGAGAACCCAGCAATTCTCGTCGAGAAAACTTGTTGATAGAATAATTCTTTGGCGAGATGGAAAAAAGCATTTTTCCGGACCCGGAAAATCATAGTTGGATGTATACTTTTCCGTATAATTTAGATTACGTAAAAGATATGGGGAATATTTAAAAAAAGAAAATTGGATATCACATGGACTTACAGGTGTCTGACCATGGAATTAAATGGTGTCCTTTGTGTCTAACAACTTCAGTAGAGACGAATTTTAGATTTAGACTTCCCTAGCGAAACATTTGCAATGATAGATTAAACTGGGACACCCTGTAGTATATAATAACATTACTCCTATAGTTTTCCTTGTAAATACAACTATATAATAACTTTACCAATTAAGAGAAACCATCAATAAGGAATATTCTGCTAAAATGATTGTAAAAAATTTTGCGTAATTTTGTATTATGATTACTACATCTTCTAGTAGGATATGCATTTTACATAAAAAAATAATTATCCTAGATGACACAAACGATACATATTATTTTAAGGGGAAGCTTTTTAAACTCAAAATAAATTCGAAATTACAAAGAAAAGGAAAGTTATTCACTTCTTTAGTCGAATTTAATTAAAATTGTGAATTATTATTGGATTAGGTACATATAAAATAAAATCAATGGTTTTCTTATATAATTTATCTATTTTCACTCAAAACTTTGAGAAAAACTTAATCAAAAGTAGTTCTGAACATAGCAAAAATCAATCGAATTGTTTCTTTTATTAAAATAATTTTCATTTTAGAAGATAAATCTGTTACTTACCAGTTATCATGGCCAGGTATTGATACAAGGGATTTCCCTTGGAAGTTTTGTTGTTGCATCCTGTTAAAATCTTCATTCCGATTCCTTATTTCTTGTATTCACTTTTTTGATGCAAACGGTACAATTTACTTTAGAATTGGCAACGTGCTTTAACTTTCCGAGCCAAAAACAATTATAAAGCAAAAGTTATGACTGCAACTTCGATATTCGGGAACTTGTTAAAAGAACACCAAGTGCTTTTGAACTTAGAAATTTCCTTATATATACTACGCGAATGTAGTATACATGCAAACGTACATAGAGATACGAGTGTAAACGAGGTTGTAAACATACGTTGTTCAACGAATGTTGTGGTCTAAAAGGCTACAAAACGGCGTACTTTTATATATACCGAGGCATTTTGTTCGCAAGTAACGCGTCTGTCGGCACTATTTTTGTTTCGGAATAGCCCACTAGCATTTCGGCCATCACATTCTAAAACTTTTTGAACAGCTCTCTGTCAATCGCTCCCAACAGTTTCAACAAAGTATATCAAAAAAATCATAACATTACCTACTTATATGAGTTCGTTTCCTCGATATGATTTTTATAATTTAATTTTTCCTGTAAAAATTTTCTACACGAGCAATTACATTACTCAAAAATTTAAAAAATTATGAAGTAATTTCAGAACTGTACCTAAGTAATCAGAATGATTATAAAACAAATCGATTACCAATTCTTACCTGTATGGATACCTATATCACGTCTAATAGTCCGATTTTGTAAGAAAAGTTTATTTTTGTGGTATCAAAAATCCTTTCCGATCACAAGATCACTTAAAACCTGGTCGAAAGGCTAAATTAAATAAAAGTTTAAATTATAGAAAATTTAAAAACCCCACTGTTATTTTTTACAGATTTTTAATTTAATTGTAGATACTTGTTTCAATATATTCAGTTCTTTTCCGTGTTGTTAGGTTTTTTAATGTTTTTTATTTAAATTTTTATTAATTATACTGATAATGCAGTCATTGAAGAAGAAAATACTGTAATACGTCATTATCAAAACATGGAGTTTTCATATGAAAAATTGTTGTTCTTGATCGCAAAGTATCAAAACAATTTCATAAAACATTTTCTTCCTAAAATGAACTCGTTAGTCGGTTTGTGTTTTTTTTAGCCCTGAGAAGGATTGGCATTTACCCCCCGAGGGTAAACTCACCTGTGCACCTCTTTATGCTAATTTCTACGTGGCGTCAAATCTTTAAATCAATCGGAAGAATTTAATTTAAGGTTTAATGATTTATAGTTCCTCTGGTCTTTTTGATTTTGTTTAATTACCATTTCACTGATGAGTATTGAAACATTTTCGCATGGCACAAGGAGAAACCTTTTTTTTTTCCATTTTTAATACCCTCTAATATTCCTTGGACTGGAATACGTACAATACAGTTATTATTATTGTGATATTTTCTTCCTTGAAGTCGACTAAGTGATCTCATATTAAATTACTATTATTATATGGATCGTGCTAAATTTGTTTATCCAACCATTACGCAAGATTTTATTTCAAACAATGTTACAAATTAATTGTTGAGAGTGAAGCATTCCTTAAGTACCTCTAACGATTTTATTTATTGATACCACATTGACGAAATATTTCCTTACAGCTAATTACTGAAAAGAAACGAACGAAATTAATCCATTTAGGATTTTTATTTGTCTATGTTCAGTAAATAGTCAAACATGTCGTTCAATTTTCTACTTTTAAGTTACCATTAACATAGTAATTTAAATGTTAATATTTAAACAACGGTAACACGTCAAAATATTGAATTTGTAACTAAAAATTCTATTAAACATCAACATCCCGAAGATTTAAGGTATATAACTAATAAGGAAACAATATAGGCAGTTAAGGGTTGGATGACTTTATCCCAATTAAAGGCTAAACGTCGATGTTGGTTGTACACATAAATACAAAAGTCTTCCAACCATTAACTGCCTCGATTATTTCCTTATTCATATCCAAACTAAGGGAAAGAAATAAATAATAGATAAATGATTAAGACACAGTTCAATGCTTTAATTAGATATTGGACGATTTAATAGGTCACTTTAATCCATAAAGTCGAATCTTCATATGAGATACACGCACAAATTGCTACTACAAACCTATACTTTTGCGAAACTATAAATATATAAGTATTGTCTAATGATAGGTCGAAATACTTTTTCAACAACTTACATTATTTTATCATCTCTCCGTCTGACACAAAACTTTGAACGATGGTCAAAATGTTTGTTGGAGTTATGCAGGCAGGTAGACAACATTACAAAGATAACTACTAATAAGATAAAAGAACATTTAAAACCACTTTAGATTTTAAAATAGGTAACACAAAATGGAATGTTCAGCAGTTCTTACTTGTACACAGAGATGTAATTTTGAAGCATTTGCCTTTCAAATTGTAAATATTTAGTGAGTAAAACTTTCATCGAACAAAATGCTTGGCGTAGTATTGTCGTTTTCGATGTGGTTATCATGAACTTTGTAAAATTATTTATGTTCATCGTCATAAGGCCTTCAGTCCTAAGACTGGTTGGACACGCGCCTCCACTTATTTTCGCATTTCCCTAAAACTAGAATATCCGACATCCTTAACTATTTGCGAACAGTAATCTAATATGGGTCTACCTCTACTCCTTTTAACTCTTGTGTCTGCCTCTAATATGTCGCTGACTAGACCTTCATGCTGAAGAAGGTATCCTACCAACCTATCTCGCCTACTTTTTATTGACTTCCATAAATTCTTTTGTTCTTCTTCTTCTTCTCTATCCACGGTATCTTCATAATTCACCGGTAACGCCACATTTCGAGCGCTACTAACCTCTTCTTTCTCGCCGCGTCCACCGTCCATGTTTCGCACCCGTACAGTACAGCGCTCCAAACATAAACCTTTTACAGCCTTTTTCGAAATCCTAATTAATCGTTCGCGAAAATATAAATAGTAGTAAAAGTAGTAGTAGAAGTGACTTCTTTGTATTGAAGGCGACTCGACCCTACGCTATCCTCTGCTTTATATCCCTACTCCTTCCATCCTGACTTATCTGATTTCTTAGATACCTAAAATCAGCCACTTCTTCTAATTTTTCATCTCCTATGCTTACATTCGCTCTTTCCCTACATTTTTTTCCCTAAAATTATTTATGTAGGTACTCAAATAACAAATTTTTAATTATCAGAAATTTCAATAGTTTTACATTACCTTGCAGTTCCCTTATTCATATTTTTTACCATGCTATTCTGTTTTACATTAACAATGATGAATTATCGGCAATTTAAAAGTCAAAGTTATTGATGTTTAATAGAATATGCTAAAAACAATTTACAGTAAAATTCCTATCAAAGACTGCTTTGAACCACAAACTACGACAGCAGGTCATTTTCGCCACTTAAAGAGCGCACGGCATCCAGTGCAAACTGTTGCTGGCTACTGTTTGCACTGGGACGACTATATATTAAAATTCCTACATGGGAATGCTTCGAACCACAAGATACTGTAACAAATCCTCTTTTTTTATGTTTTTGTGGAAGAGGAGAAATCTTCAAAAGACACCCAGCCGTCCGTACGACTGGGTAGTGTCGGGTTTCCGAGGAGGAAGTCCTCGGACCTAACGACTAAAACCCCTCTATCTCAGGCCGTTCTAGGGTCCTAACAACTCCTCACCACTTGAAAGCCAGTGCAGTGTTTACATTAGCGTCTAGTGGCGATCACACGTAACGACGACCGTAGGCGCTTCCTGTGGTAACCACAAGTGGCTGAGTTTGCGACCCTAAAACTGAAAGATTTTTTCTTAATTGAGATGCAAAATAATCAATTTAGGAGTTGCTTAACAATTTTTTTGATATTTTTCGACATGTTTAAATGTTGCATTAAAAACTAAAGAATAAATGATACTTTTATATTCTTATTACGTAGAACTATTAAAATTCCTAAAAGATAATTAAATATCTTTTAATCAACACAAATATTGAAATACGGAACCGATATAAAAATTGGTAACACATTTAGTAATTAATTTATCAGAGATTTACGATAAGCTACTCCAAAATTATCCAATATTGTTATTCATTTCCTTTCCCTCTTAAAGATATTTCTCCTATTTTACATTTATTGTTTCCCTTAAAGAACATCCTCGCTTATTGAGATTTATTAAGCAGTTTCCTTTTGCGTGAGATTAACATTCTAAAAGTGTCATTTCAAATTTCAATTGGTTTTAGAATTTGTTGGGCTCGTTGAAATTTCAAATTAGCGTGCTATATATATATAGTAGCTAAAAGTAGAGATCGGCGTAGCCTAATTTAAATAAGAAAAAGGCATTTGGTTTTAAGCGTAGGTAGTCTGCAAGCTAGTTAACAACGAAAAAAATTGAAATAATGTAAATAACAAATTTAAGTGATAAATTAAATAGCATCGTTATCAGGTCCACGTATTCACAAATGTAGTTAAACGTAGACAAATAGTTACGACTACGTAGATATTCATTATTTTATGTTTATTGCAATAATTACATAGATACTAGATAAAAACAAAAAAAATACACACAGTGCTGATAAACAGTCTGACAAACTTCAGACAGGTAAGTTATAAAGCAGGAAATAGTCGTAAGTGGAATTCTCCGACTTTATGCGACATGTTCTTTTGGGGTTGATAATTTACCTCATGATGAAAAGATAATAGTTTCTTGAAGAGGTTAGAAGCATTTGAAATGTAGTGTTGTAACGGAATGATGAGGATACTGTGGATAGAGAAGGTTAGAAATGAAGAGGTATTAGAAAGAGTAAGAGAACAAAGAAAGAGGACTCTATGGAAGTCAATAAGAAATAAGCGAGATAGGTTGGTGGAACACCTTCTCAGACATGAAATACTATTAGTTACAAACATATTGAAAGCAAGAACAAGAGTTAAGAAGAGTTGGGGTAGACCTTCATTAGATCACTTCTCACAAATAGTTGTGGATGTAGGATGCTCTAGTTTTACAGAAATATGAAAATTAGCTTAGGACAGAAAAGAGTGGAGGTGGGTGTCCAACCACTCTTGGGATTGACGACCCTATGACGATGAGATTATTGACCGATCAACGCTTTCCGGATGATCCCATAACGACCAAATATTGACGTCTACTTTTTTACTTTCATTTTTTTTTTATTAAACGTTTTGCTCGTTGACTAATTCCAGAAAGTCCTTTCAACCATTTCTTCAGCTGCACAAATGTACTTATGGTAAAACCATAGATATTAGCTCATTGGTATATTATGATACTCCGACATAAATAAGTAGTATCAATCTAATCCGGTGATTCCGAACCTGGGGGTAAC